ACAAGTTCGAGTCGTGTGCAAGAACGGCGTATCACATAAAGAGGGAGTCTTTAGTGTTTTATTAAGTCCTATTAATGTACACATAAATCTGAACTAGTTTTGCAAGTCCTCGTGGATGTAGGGTACGTTTGTATCCGAACCACATTAAATTCTTGTGTTTTTTATTCTGCTTTTAGTAGGTTAATTACTGTGATAACACAAGAATACTGTTGCCACTCCTAATGTCGTAACACGTAGTCTGTCTCAACAAAAGAGTGGACTTTGATAGGCATTCAAATTCAACAATTGGCATCAGAGCGGGTCACTAGATATACTTAGTGTCCGATTTTGGGTTTTGATTTGTTTGCTTTGCTTATTGGATGACGTGTGTTCACAAGGAAGGTTGAGACGGAAGTCTGTCACGGCATTCACCCAATTCCGCTGCGTTGTAACGTGCCCCGTGATGGGACACTCTGATAGAAGACCAAGACGGGTGAAGAAAAGTGGCATCTCTGTTGCAGGGGGAGTAAATCTCATCTGCAGGGGGAGTTCTTGTTAAACATGGATTCTAACCAATCTATGCCAAAGGGGGAGATTGTTGGCACGAGATTTCTATTTGTGAAGATTGAAGAAATCCGCCATACGTGGAAATTAAAGATTGGCAAAGATTTGTTTTCCATGTTTATTTTGGAATTAATTAGAGTCCTATTTTTGTAATATTGTTATTAGGACTTAGATTTATTTCCATGTATTATATTCTAGTTAGGTATCTTTTGTACTTATCTAGAATAGAAGTAGAAATCGACTAGGATTCTATTACCTAGTTAATCGATTTCTTAGGGCCCAAGTTAGGTTTAGGGTGGTGGATTTCGTGCCTATATAAGGCCCTCAACCTCATATGAGTCCGATGGAGCTTTAATAAGAAAAATCCCAGCATAAAGGCTTTGAAGGGTGCAGCCCGTGCTGCAGCCCTGTCTGCACGGCAGGTGTGGCAACAGAACAGGTTTCTTCTACCAGGCCATAAAGAAGATCGGCGTTTCGGGAGAAGTGCTTAAAAGATCTCGGGAGAGGTCGATCCGCCGTTTGAAGGAAGTTCAACATTGGAGGAAGTCCAAGAGTGCGGAGGAGGAATTGCTTTGATTATCAACAAGTTCGAGTCGTGTGCAAGAACGGCGTATCACATAAAGAGGGAGTCTTTAGTGTTTTATTAAGTCCTAT